GGTGCTGGGCCTAGTGTCTCTCCCCCAGATGACATGGGATGGTAATGGTGGGAGGATGCAAAGAGAGACATAGAGAGGTTGTTGTTCTTTTCCTTGTCTGGATTTCTTACATGGTATGAGTGTGTGATACATTTTTCTGCACCTGTTGCCATCATGACAACAGACAAGTGCTTTACCAAAGTGTTACATGTATGCCATGGTAAGCTGCCACTTGGTAGAAAGTTTGTGCCTATCCATTCAGAGTTGCAATATCTTTTAATTTTCATGAATGCAACCATCATACTGAATTGTATAATTAGCTAAGCGTATAACATCTCCATCTGCTGGTACAGACCCATATTGTCCTTTTCTTTGCAGTAATTTGAAATTATTATGAGACTATAGAAAATAACTTGTAATCATTCAGAGGCTGCATGTCATATTGCCAGTCTCCATCAATGTATGGAGCCAAAGTGATGGCTAGCTTCAAGCACAACATGAGATAAATTAAGGCTGAATTTCCCTTGTCATGACTGCCTCCACTTATCCTGTATAAGGTTGGGTAGGGGAATGTAAGACAAAGGAATTTGAACATACAGGATCATGTCTGCTTGACAGCATTTTTTATCAGAACAGAAGATATCAGGGTCAGTGCAAAGTGGTTTGCCCTTTTCAGTGGGGGGACATGGGCTGTTCCCACCACTGCTCTTCCCCTTCCCCACTATTTCTCCTTCTGCTCTCCCTCTGTTATTGCTTCTTCCCTCCCTACCACAACTCCTACCCCCTCTTGCTGCCACTGTTTCAGTCAAGATCTTTCTTCTGCTTGACTGTGGGTATGGCGGCCATGGAAACTCCCTGTGTTTTCTTGGGACAAGCAAACTCCTTGTCTACCGTGCCCATGAGGCCATGGTCTGACACCACTCAGAAATGGTCAGACTCCATCTACCCTCTTGCTTCTCAACTATGACATCACAGTAGAGAGCAGTGAAGGCCTTCATAAAGGTGTGTGAGGAGTCCTACTGCCACTGTTTCTCTACAAGCTGACCTGGGTGTGTTCCAACAGAGACACAGCCAACTTGGGGAAGCACACCAGGGCATCGGGGACGCCCTGGGACAGAGCGCCACAGGACCGCAGCCTCCGCACCGCGGCGCTCCGGTGGCGTCCCCGAAAGGAGCGCAAAAATAGCGCTCCTTTCAGAAATCAGGGAA